AATTTATGAATTCGGAAACACAAGTTGAAATTCGTCAAACACAAGAACAATTTCGACCAATGAAAGCTCATTTTCATCACGTCTCGAAATGCACTATTCACACTACACGCACTTGCACCACATCTCGATATGCGCTATTCACACTCCACGAGTTGACAACTCGCACAATGTGCGAAGATTGCTCGAGGTACTTCTCAAATGTGAACAGTTATTGCAGTGAGTGAGATTCACGGATAGTTCTCCGGAACGTTGGGTCACAATGTGACCGTCACATCGGTCTGTCGGATCGTCGGTCCGGGACCGATGTAGCCCGTCGAAACCTGAACTTTTCGTAGAGGGTTGGTCCGGTTCGGTATTCGGTCGATCAAAGTTCGGTTCGGCGGTCAGGAAATCGAACCGAACATGTGCTGACCCCATCGTCCCCCCGCTATCATCGGAAGGGTAATGGAGATTCTCCATGGGAGAATCAAACCCAAACAATCTCCCGGCTCGAATCTCTGAAAATCCTTCATTGCAAGTTTTTGAATTGCACTGTACTGTTCAGCATTACGGTGCAGCCCGTAGGGCACCATCAGCACTCGTAATTTGCCAGTCGCAATCCGTGGCACGAGTCGTGCCGCACGACGCTGACGAGAATTTGCTTCCATCGAATGAAAGTGAGCTTTCATTGGTCGAAATTGGTCTTGTGTTCGACGAATTTGAACTTGCGTTTCCGAATTCATAGATTTAGATTTGGATTTCCGAATCCAAATTTCATTTACGAACTTGAACTTTCGTTTTCGACCGGTCAACGAAATTCTAACTTTCATTTCGAATTTGAACTTTCACTTCGCGAAAAACTCCTTTCACTTGTCGAAAATCAAATTTCATCCATCTTATTTGTTCTTTCAATTGTTGAATTTGAGATTGAAAAGGTGTAGTAGTGCTGTGGTCATTCCCACGGTGGGAATCCCACCACCGGAACGTGTTGAAAATGAAAGTGTTTAAATAACTCCACGCTTTTCAAAGTGTTACAAACTACCACTTTGTGGAAGTTATAACTACAAATGAAAGTGTTGGAAAAATTGTTCACCCATCAGAGTTCCTGATTGCCGGTTTTGGAACTGCGGGTGGATAGTGAAAGTTAATAACGACTAAGAAAGGTAGTTCACGACTCATGAACTACTTTTGAGAAGTAACTTTTATCCTGAATCACGAGCAAAAAAGTATGCCTTGTCCTACAAAGTTTGTCATCATACGGAGAGTCTCCGTATGATGACGGCATATGTCCGTATGTCCGTCGGAGACTAAGGCGACAACCGATGAACTTAACTGTATCCTAATTCTGGCCTAGGATACACTTAAGGCCTAGTAGGCAATCTCTGATGGCGTATTGTATTATAGCTCAATAGCATAACCTTTCAGGTGGTGGGTTCGCTGGTAGTGACCGGAAGAAAGCGTTGCGTTCCAGTCCGCGAAACTTTTCCCTCATGCGCACCGCGCACTGCGCGGAACTTGACTCACTATTCGTAACATACCTCGAATTGAACTACTTAGATTAGAACCTTGTATACCGGAATTACCTCAGCATGATATGCATGAGAACTCCGTAACGCAAATATTCAACCATCAAATCGAAATGTGTGTTCTACATTGATATTCGAACTCGACCATTCCGAAAGGAGCGAGAGCAGAGCTCTCGGGGAGATGCTGCGTTGCTGAGAAAAGATCTTTCGCATGTGCGTAAAATAGATAGTCTATCTAAGATAGAACAAGTATCAGAGCGCTTAAGCATTATGATAGGCTGGGCAATCACCCAAGTCAACGAACTGCGGATTCATCCTCAGAATCTGAGGCTCAGATGAGTCCAGCTTTTGATGCTGACAATTTCCTTGTGAACAGCCGCTCTCTCATCGAGATTCCGAGCCCACATATTCAAGTGCTTATGCGGGGGTATAATGTAGAGCTGGCAAGGCAAAGTATCTGATCCGAGTTGGGCAGCCGAGCCGATGTCCCAGCTTGGGACTCCCAGGTGTACTCAACCCATGCACTGTTTTGGAAAGGCACCGGCTTGTTAACCCAAGTTCTGGTATGCCTCTTCGACTAGTCAGACTCACCAAATGTATCCCAGTACCCGAGATGACTGGCAATATTCAATATAGGGGATATGTCATCATATTCCAGAACGTTTCCACCACCAAAAGAGGCAACATCCATCGCCTGGTCGGCCAGACCACCGAAAGTGAAAGCTGTTGCAGCTCCCGTGAGCTGTAAAGTCTGCGTAAATATCGAGCAAGCCGAGCCACAATTACCATCCGTCACAAAATCGACCTCCGTGCAATACTTCGGGTCATAACTCGACTCTTTGACAATTCCGGGTAGAGCATTCTACAATACGTCATAGCAGAAACCGGAAGCACTAGTAGCGGAGTAGTTTGAAGGCTCGCCCCACATCGAATAGTATTCGAGTCACATCGTTCTCCCGAGCGAAGTCTTGAACTTCGGAAAACTTTTCGTACAGAACGACCGGCAGTACAAAAGAACCATCACCGGTAACGAAGTCCGGTACGCTCACCATCACGGTGTCATTCAGTAATGAATATTGGTAGCCGGTTCCAGAGATCCACTT